AAAGTGCTAAATCCCTTTAATCCAAACTCTGCTTAATGAGAGTAGCAAAACTTCAAATTCACAATGAAGAGTCACCAGTCTAGCTGACAGAAAACTAGATTTATGAGAGAGACCAACTGGACTGCAAGCCCAGTTTCTGTAATTACTTTTCTCCTGAGAAAAATTTTCCTTACAAGCTGCCCACCCTTAGAAATTGCTGAGCTCACTGCAAGGAGCTCAGAAGGCAGCAGCAAGAAGGATATCTTCTTTCCCAAGATACTTGGAAGGAAAACACTAAACAACTTGAGTGGGTTCAAGAGGTGGGTCCCCTGAAAGTATTTTCTCACACGAGAGGTAAATTTTCCTTTGGCTATGGCAGCAGCAGAATTACAACCATAAATAACATTGTGAAAATGCTATTCTGAGTTTTAACTGGTATCTGTGTGCAAGTTTGTATGTACATGCAAGTATATAGAACCTGCTTTCTCATTACGTGCATGTATTATGCAGACATTAATTACATTTTATAATTAAATTATATATTTCATGTGTGTTTCTTTATATAATGTAGTACTCCATATTACTAAGCAGAATTTTAACAAAAAATTATCTTTCAAAATGCAGTTTACTTATATATTTTCATTTTTATTTGCACTATAGTAGACCTGTAAAGATTTCCTGTAGACACGCAGTGATCATATCAAAAAACACTGCTTCAGACTGGCTACATCAGCCAATTATACTGTTTTATTACTTCCTTTTTCTGTGAGATTGGGCACTGAAAACAAATCAATTAATTATAGTCCTGCAATTTTGCAATGAAGAACCTTTCAGGATCAGGATTAGATATGCCTTCTATGCTGAAATGTTATTTTAAATTACCCTTTTCAGTTCACTTGTCACTTCCAATGTGTGATGCATGGGGCACAGCTCCATTTGTTTGCTGTTCCTACCAGCGTTTGAAAACTCTGAAGAAAAGACAGCCCACATTTTTAAAAAACACTTTCTAGAAATCTGTCACAGAGGAGAAATGCATTGGGTGGAAGGCGTTCAGTGGGTGCACATGAGAGGCAGCCAGAAGAGTAAAAAATGGAATATTGCTTGGAAGCACAAGAAGGGACACAAAGTGAGGAAACACAGCAACAAAGCTAAAGTCAAGAGAAGGATGCCTTCAGGCTGGAGAGGGCTCTTGCAGGCACAGCCAAGGTAGGCTGGGATGAACAAAACAAACCCAAGTGCTGCTGCACAGGACAGGGCCAATATGTGCCACTGGAACTTCAGGGAAGATTCTCACACTCCCACAAACAGGGAAGCCAGAGCACTTATAGGAAAAGTGCACAGAACCAGTGGGGGTGTTACTGCTGCTATTTGTGCTTTAGGAGGAAAAGGTCCTTCAAGCTCATGACCAAATCTTTTCTGCCCCTTCTGCAGTAGTCAGACATATTCAAACCAATCTAATGTTATGGCAGATATTACAATGGGATATACTCAATATTTGATTTCACCTTGATCAAAAAGGAGTATCAAAGTTACAATCAGTTACTGCTTTTGTTTGTATAAACAGGAACACTATCAAAGAGCAAAAAGTAAATACGTTTAATAAAAATTAGTGATGAGGATGTCCCTGGTTGTCTAGAAAATGCAGCAAATTCCTTTTCAAAGTAGCCACCAGGTCAGACAATAGACATTATAGTCTGAATTATTCTGCACAGCCATAAAAAAAATTGTGCTGGGAACAATTTTGTGACAAGTCTTTTGTAGAGATTCCATGGTAGTTGATGGAGAAACAATAGGGTTTTTCATCATTATTTCCCAAAGTTCCTGGAAAAGGCTGCAGTCATTCAGCCTGCAAATACCACAGGTACATGCAAATGTCTGAGACACATGCATATACAAATATTTGGGTACAATATAGACAACAGTGGCTGAAAGTTAAACCTGCCTCTTCTTGGACCTGAGGTTTCAAAGACATCCAAAAGAAAACATGAGTATTGTATCCTATGGAATTTCTCACCTGAAATTGGGAATAGGCTGACTTACAAAATCTTGAATTCAAAGTTTACTACTGGAATGAGAACTACTGCATAGGTAAAAACATAACTAATGGCCCACAAAAAACAAGACTAGTAGAATCAGAGTTCTACAGGATTTTCTGAGCAAAATTTCATATACTAAATTTGCTGGGAATTTAATTTAGAGCAACAATAAAAATTTCATATTCAGTGACAAATCTTGTCTAATACTTGTATCAATCAACACTGCAAGTAATGAACTTTGGCTTCCATCTGTTCTGCTCATCTTTAGAGCCTCTCATCCATGTATGACCATAGTTTTTATATAAGCATTCCTATATTAGCCAGATTACTGTGAAAATTCATCAAAAATGTTACCTTGGAGTGCACAGGTGATAACAAAGCCTCTCCTAGTGAGAGCAAAATATCTCAGAAATCCAGTCTGTTCATCTAAACACCATATTGTACCACCCTTGAGTATATCTGTGCTAAAAAATTGACTGCTCCCTTAAGAAAATCCCACCCAAACCAAAAAACCTCCAATCTGATATTTCTGTGTATTAAACTCTTTGGTGAAACCCAGTATAAATAGAAGCAGGGCAAGCATTCTGAACACACAAAAACAACAGTGTGATTAAAGGGTTCTGTCAATTGAAAACCTCCAGGAACTTCTTCATTTTAGCCTGAAAGTGCCCATTGCTGCTCTGCTTGCAAACAGCAGAATGAGCATAATACATGTCATAAATTAAACATCAGAGAGATTCTTAATGTTCCATGAAGGCATTTACTCACACTGAAAAGTAACATGTAGGTATTATATTTTATGCTAGTGATGGAGTATTACTCATTCATCAGTTCTTTCCAGAGATCTTGCTATGAATATTCAGCTCTTGATGACAATAATGAGAATCCAAGGTGCTCTGCAATACTTGGACTCTGGTATGGCACCATTGTCATACAGAGGAACCAGAGTGAACAAGGCTGCAGTACCACACATGTCACTCAGAACTTGTGGGATGGGATAGATCAAGCTCAACTTGTACGGAGTGGAGGAGGAAAAGCGTCTTTGGAAACAGAAATGTCAACCAATTTCGAACTTTGAGATCTGTCAGAAGGGACATGACTGCATATTTCTTTCTTGGACTCAAATTTCAGATGGCAGAAGAAGATGAAGGAAAAGAAACAAAATTTTCAGAATCTTCCAGAATGCAAATAATGCTGAAGAAAACCTAGTTCTGTTAGGACAAAAGCTGCTTAAAGGGTCTGCCATGACTTCTGTGAGGCTGGCAAAATACTTGGATGCAATTCAATTACCATTGTTATCATTGCTACTTCAAGTCTGTCAAGTTCTCTTGATTCTCAGCAAATGAGGAAAAGGGCTGGGATATGGATGTAAAACAGATTCCATTCCTAATCATCCTAGAGATGGTGCTGGGGTCAGCTATTCTGAACAGCACCGTGTACTGTGTGACTCAATTCACACTTGCAGGAATAGTCATTAAAAATATTAAAAAACATTAAACCCTTTCCTACTACCCTGTCTGCAAAACAAACTTCATCTAATCTTGGTGATTCTGGTTGGGCAGATTTAGGGAGAAAGAGTGCTAAGAGACATATTAACAAATTATAAAAATACTTTTAAATGTTGCATTTTTTAAGGGCTCCTGTCTTTCGCCTCAGCACATATCAGACCAAGTTTGTGCCTCTTTTGATACTAAATTAAAATTTGAAAGACTTTCTGATAAGAGAATTTAAATCTCAAAGTTAAATAGTTTCTGTGTGTAGGCTTTGCTCCAGTAAAATTGTGGAAAACTTTTTTTGCTAAGGACAGTTACTTAATGCTTGCATATGTCACGTTGGTCTGTGTAGAGCTGATATCATGGTTGCTGAAGAAGACAGGATATGGAAGTAATGAAAAAGGTCATGTGCACAATAACTACCAAAAGCATAAATAAATCCACAGCTTTGCTCAGCACTCGTTCAACTTCACAATCACAGACATATGTGCCACCATGATTTACACATTCATTCACATCTTTGTTATCATTGACAATTTTTTTTAGTCAGATTTTCTTAAAGGGGGTCATAGCGTGAATGTAGCTAACAAGTATTTCTGGCCACTGCACCAAGCAAAGGGATGCACTAGGAGGACAACATGCTGCATCAAATGTCAAACTGATATGTAACACAGCAGTGGGAGACACCAGCACTGATCAAACCGTTTGTCCTTATGGGTTCCTTCCTACAGTTCACACTGTGAAGCACAGTCATCCTGATCTCTCTAGGAGAGAGTACAGCTGGTCCTACTGCTGCACAGAATGTACTTACAGCATGGAATAAAGGAGGGAGATCATCCCTACAGCGTTAGCTCATCTTTAGCAGTGCAGAGTAAGGAAGCAATATCTTCACTAAAACTATTTGTTAATTCTCTTCTGAATGCTGCTCTGGCTGAAATGTAACTGGGAGGAACGGGAAGAGAAAATGTAGGCTCAGACACAAACAGAAGCTTTGGGCAATACATTATATCATCCTGGCTAAAATTTTTACTGTTGGATGGTATTTCCTTGCTGAGAAGTTTCAGGGCCATGAAGTATTCTTTTTATTAATTTCTGTTCTTCACTCCTTTGTTGAGGAGAACCCTTTCCAGAGCTGTGGTTTGCACCATGCTAATGATATGATTAGTGGTCCTTGGCTGGTGGGTAGATAACATTGGCCAATGTTCTAACTGACAGCAATCTCTTTCCCCCTTCACTCTGAATAAATCCAACTCATTCTCCAGTATACATCCAGACCATGGAAATGGTGCAGTTCTATGACAAATATCAAAGGCAAAACGATCCAGAACAGTTGGACATTTGGTCCAACATTTAGACATGAGAGGTCTAGGGTAGCTGTCTAGGCATTGTTGGCACACAAATAGGGAAACATACAGGTAATTCTTAAATGCAACAGGATAATCTTAAGGCTGGTTCATCAACCCCCTTTTCCCCAAAGAATTACAGTGTTTACCTTCAGTCCTGTCTGGTAGTTTCCCACTTTTGCTTGTTGTTCCAGTGTTGACTGTTTCAGACGAGGTGCTCAGTTTGGTGTTGGGGTCTCGCTTCGGTTTTGGAGGCGGCTGCTTTCGAGAGCTGCTGCTTTCATCATCAGTTCCTCCAACTGAATGAAGAGACTGGGATCTGACAGTGAAGCCACTGGAGCAGGGGTGTGGCAGTCTGTCCTGAGGAGCAGGCATTGTCATAAATCCCATGCGGAAATGTTTCCCCACGTAGCTGCCTTCATTTCCTCTTGCTACTTCTCCACCTATGCTGTAACAGAAAATACAAATGTAAGTAAAATGTCCTCCTTTGCCTGAACCATATCTGGAACCAGGGTCTCAGCTCTGCCTGTGACAAGCAGATCATGTTTCTAAATTTTAAAACAAGCAGTGCTCTTCTCTGAAAAGATGACTACTAGAAAAGTCTATTTTTCAACACATGCTGCCAACAACTGAGACATAGATACACTGCTACACACTCAGAATTTTACAAAAAGAAATTTTAAAAAAAAGCTTTTGTCAGGTTTCCTATTATTGTAACTAGAAATTTTCTACAGAAGAAATTTCAAACATTGAAAGTCAGAACCGAGTTTTCAGGAAAACAGGAGACTGTGAGTAGGCCAAAGAATAACACTTTAGAATTACAACAGGGTGTATTGATCCACACTCCCTGACACTCATCTTTTACTACAGATGCTCGTGTAGCTTGGGAAACAAGGCTTCATAGCATCTAATCAATCTTTTCCCTTGAGACTAAAGAATGGTAGAGAAGAAATGTTCTAAAAATTACTTGGCTATAGGAAACTCAGCATCACATCAAATCCACATAAATCTGCAACACAAGCAGCTTCAGTCTAGTAAATTACAAGTGTAGGAGATGAAAAGACCATGGACACCAGGTGGGACACCAGGAAGAAAATAACCTCCAGCCTTTTAGAAACAGAGGTAAAGAAGAAGGAAAGTTCAGTTGAAACAAGTGCTACCATAACTGCATTTTTCTGTGGGTGTAATGACTGAGAACTTGATATTATTCCTGTTCCACTCATGCTTATCAGTTCTGAAAAACAGCTCTTACTGGTGTTTATACTGCAAACCAACAGCACATTTCAATTCAGGCAAGTCAGCGACTACGCAAAGAAACTCAGCAGCACACACAGGTCAATGTGAGCCTGTTTGCAAGGAGGTTTGAAATGGTACCACTGTGGGCACACAGAAATGTCAGCACAAGAACTGTGAAGCATCAGAAAGCTCTAATTAGCTCCTCTTTCCTGGGTAAGTGCTTCTCTGAAAGTTTCTTACTTGATGTTGCCTTGGTCTGGTGAAGTTTATTTGGTTATGAAACACATTTCTTTTCTTTAAAGACAAGAACATTTCTCAAAAGTGTGAAGAGTAAGCAAGGCCTCTTACCTCATTTCCACCCCATCTTCACTGTAGGTAAAACACAAGCTGTATCTAATTGTCCTAAAGACATCAGACTGGCCATGAGCTTTGTGCATGGTAAAGCAGAACTTGTTTTTGGTTTAACAAACAAACAAGCAAACAACAAAAAAAAAAAAAAAAAAAAAAAAACCCAAAAAAAACCAAAACCACCTTTGTTTGCTTATTACTCTCCCTGCTTATTACTCTCTCTGCATTTTTATTCCATTTCCTCTCTAAGTGGAGATATCCACTTTCGAAACTGGTTAACAACAGAACAGCTCTAACTGACCATGTGCCCCTTTCCAGGGGCACTGACACCTACCCACATGTGTAAATGTGTGCACACATGCCTGCCACACATATGCACACACTGGTCCATGCTCACAGCCAAATTGTTACTAAATCCTAATTGGCATCAATTCCAAAGGGATTTGCAGCCAGAAAGATCAAGAGGTAGAACTCATTAATTCGAATATTTCTCAAAAACCTGTAGTTAGTTTGAATGATTAACTAGATTAACTATGCCTCTACTAATCTTTCATAAATTGTTCTGAAAATAATATAATCCTCTGACACTGGACTGCAGAAAGAGCCTGTCATATTATTTAAAGAAGATTACTATCCAAACATGATGAAGAATGCAGGTGGGGAGTCTGCTTCCTTTCTAAGTCTATTGGATAATCACATTTGGCAAAGAAAGTTTCAGTTTGCCGTATCTCCAATGTTACAATTCTTAACAGTTTACATTATTTAATTACTGCATTTACTTCACTGCTGTATGAAGGTGTTTGAACCATCCACTAAAGCCAGGTTCTTATGGCAAGCTGGATGGACTTGCACAAATCCCTCTGAGATGATATATTTCACCCTTTTCCTAAGAATACACAGGACTGCATTTATATGAAGCATGAGGGGGGGGGGGGGGGGGGGGGGTTTGCCAAACTGCTGCATCTTGTCTTCCAGAAATTAAAACTTACAAAATGTACTCCTGGTGTCTAAATGCACTGTATCATTAAATCAAATCTTTCTCCACCCCTTAATTTTTTCATTCTTTATTTAATTTCAACATAGATGAAACCCTCACCTGCTTCCTACACTTTCCCCAGAGCAAAGAGCCTACAGCCAGGTGAGAGAGAGGTTGTGGGTACAGATGGGAACAGAACTTGTTGCTGCTCAGCATCACAGCTGGAATAGATCTGGTCTTGCTTTCCTACATCCTCTGCTTAGCTACCAGGCAAAACCAGTAAGGCACCATTTCCCTTCTTTCAGCCACATTTAAAGGAGTATCCATTTGTCTTTGAATGTAGGAGCCAACATTCAGCTGCTGGTTAAGCGCTGTAAACCACAAGCTGAAGAAAACCAGCCTCCAATCTTCAGTCCTGGGCCCTGGTCACTGAGCAGGATCACAAAAGGCTTAGGTTTGTTCCCTTAGCCTTGTTCCCTACACAAGTAGCAATTCCCAGTATAGGGCAGTGGGTGTTTCCCAGCTGGGTCTGACCAGTTCACACCAGCACAACATACAGTGGGATGCCAAGTTCACACCTCAGCAATGCAGACCAAAATCCCTTGTGTGTAAAGAGAAAGGAATAACTCCAGACTCACACCAAGAGCACAAACAAGATCAAAAGCAGGACGGCAGATTTCAAATGTGGCATCCCCTGCCCTCAGGTAGCAGCATCCTGAAGGTCCATTTGGACTTGTGCAATGCACAGTCTTGCTGTTGTTACATCATGACCCCAGACAGAATGAAAGGATTTATTTATATACTCCTCCTGCTCACAGCCACAGGAATTGGCTGGGCTAGCATGTGTCCCACTTCAGCACAACAAGCTGACAAAGATTTACACATAACTTGCTGTGCAGCAGTGACTACAGAGACAGTGAGAGAGAAAGGAACTGTGTAGGTCTCACTCCATTATTTCTGACAGGTAAGACTCTGTGCTCCTCATTGTACTGATAATGAGTTCTATCTCATTTCAAAACTGTATTATGTGAGTTGCTGCAAGTATTACATCGTTTATTAATATATATGGAAATGCAGATTTAGATTATTCCTCTGGGAAGTTTCAATTTGAACTTGGCCAGGATCAAATGCTTCTCTGACAAAGAATTATGTACAGCATTAAATAACCATTAAAAATGCAAGACATTTGTCTACAAAGAGAGTTGTGATTATATAACAACAAAATTAATCATATGATCGCTCAGGTTAAACACATCAAATATGACTTGGTGCTGAAAATACACTTCAGTGTTTGCCCAGGTCTAGTGCCTGATGTGCCACAGGTGGAGAAAAGGGCACTGCCAAGGTCAGTGTCAGACATCTTTAAGAAGATTGTTGTAAACCATCTCTCCTTTCAGAACCATGTTACAGGCCTTCTCCAGCCCCAGCTCAGCAGCCCACACAGACCATCGAGTGCTACCAGGTTACACACTCGCTCCCTGGGTGCACTGCAAGGGAAGCAAGACCACACCCCTCTCCCTCTCTTACACAGTGATGGAATTAAATCATTACAGCAAATACCAAAACAGTCAGATCTGTCTTAAACCAGTAACAGCAGATTTCAGTTTTCATTTCTAAAATATCAACAAGAGATCTGACTGATAGATGCAATGAGTCTCATTACATCTCCATACAGGTTTTGTCTGTCAGCTGAATTCTTTGAGGTCAGAACTGGGCTAGCATTAAACCACACTGGCCTGGCTGCTCCTACAGCAGTGTCAGCCTGCTGGCACATAGGCTGTGGTCACAGCAGGGCTGGACACTCCACAGCTCACTTCTGGTGCTCTGCCTGCCCTTTTCCACCAAGCAGATACTGGAGTATTGCTGTAACTACAGCACAGAAGAATGGAAGAACTGCAGAGGAGAAAGTCTTTTACATTATTAATTTCATTACACATCACAAGAGTGAAAGTTACAGAGGAAGACGAAACATTAGAAATGAACACAGAAAGTACTCTAAATGCAAACAGCATGGAGAAGGTCATGTCCACCTTGCTTTGCCATGAGTCATAACGGTCCTGTTGACTCTGAACATATTTTCAAGTTGTTAAGTTAGAAAACTAAGGCAAATAAATTTTCATCACATTGATGAAAAATACATGGCAAAAAGAAACTATCCAGAGTCTATCTGCATCAATCAGTGTGGTCTTTTTAGTTTGAATTTTTCCTATTTAATATTGCAAAGAACAATTTTATTTGCTGTGCAGTTTCATTACTTAGTCCAGACAGAAACTGAATTAATTCCTGGAAAACAAATTAATAGTTGTATGAAAACTTTTGTTTTACTTGGTGTCACTGTTTAACTATAAACAAAACAGAATATTAAATTTCTCAGTGCAGCTGTAAAGGAGTAGAAATCTTGGACTGAGACCATAAAGTCAGAATACCCTGGAGATGGATTTTCTTCCCAGCCATCGAACTTGTTCTTGGTTTTCATGCAAAAATTCTATCAGTTTAAATATACACTGGATTATTTTCATTCCTCAGGCACTAAGAACCACTTCATAGCTCTCCTCATCTTTGTATGGTTTCCTTTTTTCTTCCTGTGCTGCTTTACATGGGATTTTCTACTTTTTTGGCACAAGTTCAAAAAGGGAGCTACACCTGATTATGAGATTTGACCTCCAAAGTAGGAGGAAGGGGGTTTTGCTCTGCTGGGGATGTGTCATTTTAGAAGATATTTTAATTTCTTTGCTGTGATACATTCCAGTCAGGGACCACAGAAGGTCACCATCCTTCAAAGTGTTGGAATTCCAGGTAGCCAAGAGAAACAATTTCAAGAGTAGCTGCTTGCTCCTCTTGGTCTTGAAGAAGATTTATCACAGATACTGGTTCATTTGCTGGCAGAA